AAGATTATATTTATTCAAGAATAAGTTATTGTGTAAGAATAAAATAGTTTACGATTTTGTTTTAATTAAGTTTGTTTGCCGCCACCGTGAATACGAATAAAATAAACGGTCCGTTCGATTCAAATTGTTAACAGTAGGGAGAGTAACTTCTCAATGAGCCGGTGTAATTATCCGAACAGAGCGTGTTTACACGCAAAAAAGTGGTTTATCGTGTTCACCGATGTGAGCAGTTCTGCTTTTCTTACTAATGACCCAGCTTCTTTCTAAAGGGTGGCAACTTTTAAAGCCGATGCTTTTGTGTACATCCTTTTCCAGAAAAAAATAACTAAGCATCAAGCTAGGTGGCTTAGAAAGTATAGTAGTTAGTAGAAAGTATAGTTGTTATTAGCGAATCGGAAATTTCGTTAGCAGCAATCATGGACAAACGTACAAAGTATATAAAAATTATGAGATCGGTTAGAACTGAACTGAATTCATTCTAAACAATTGTCGAGGTCTCAAAAGTGTCGATTTATTTATTTGTCAAACTGGTAAGAGAAAATCGACTTGATTTGCAGAATTAGAAAGTTACATCAAATTAAAACAGTTATATCAATGCACATTAAAGCTACATAGTTAATATTCTATAGTTAGAATAATTTTCAATATTGTTTTATTTACGAATAAATGAATACATCATTTCAAAATGAAAACGGATGCTTTGTATACAATTTCAGTGCTTGTAAATTGGTACATACGGATTTAAACACAGTTTGTATAATCTAATTTATTTAAAATATGGAGTATATTTGACATATTCTAAATATAGTAGATTTATAAAATTCAACACATAAATTAGAAATGGTTATGAATGAAATTGTTAAAATAATAACATATAAATGAGGAATGCGGAATGTTATGGATATTGAATTGACGAGGATAATAGTAATAAATGTATGTAATAAGTTATAGTAATAAATAATAATAGTAATAAAATAGTAATAAAATATAGTAATAAATGTATTTTACAGTAAGTGCAGACCGCTTCTATTTTGCATAACAATCCGCAGTCTAGTAATCAATATATTTAAATCGAATGCCTCGATTACATTCACACTTATTTGCCAGGAAGCTTCCATCTAGTTATCCTACTTTTCCATGATTGTTTTCTATAATTATTCTGCTGAAACTATGAAGAAGGTATGCGTATCTTCTGTTGAAAAGAATAATATTACAACTTTGTTTCAAAAATAGGCTCCTTTTCTAACTTCTATTCGATGTAGTTATTCTATGCATTTATTCGTATTCGTATTTATAACAAAAACGAGTAAGTGAAAACACAAAACAGGAGAATTTCAGAGAACTGCTACACTGCTAATTATTAAAAGAGAGGAAATGCTACTTATCTTCTTCTGCAATAAACGTGGATAATATTTATTTTGCACGAAAATTCTGCTTAACGACTTTCTCCTAATTCTAGTCTCGCGCGCGCACACGATTTCTATCAAAGACATTCGGGTCCGTATTATCGGATCGTTTATCAATTTCGAAAGAAAGAGAAATCGTAAAAAAAACCACCCCTACGTTTCTGCCGATCCGTTGGACGAAAGGGTGGGGGGCGGAGTCAAATCAAGATCCTCCGGGGTCCTCCGCGAAAGAAGGGGTTGCATTCGGGCAGGAAGAAAGGAGCTGCTAATTGACACGAGCGATTGCACGTAACGGTATAATTAGAGAGAAGAATACGGAGCCCGGACCGGTGCACCGATGAACCAATGAACCAGCCATAGAGCGGCGAGAGGGGAAGGAAAGAAACAGAAAGGCAGAGAGAAGCAGGGGAGAGAAGCAGCCGGCGGGTTTCGACGAGGGTAGCGATGGGCATTTAGTTTTCGCCACCTCGCGAGTTTTCAAACAATTTCGAGGACGCTACGTGCCGGCCAATTATCCGGGACATTCGTCGGTTCGGATTCTCTGTAACTCCAACAAGCCACACCTGTTCAATTTCTTTGTTCGATGGATTCGTAACCAGAGAAGAACTCAATCCGTTGTTCGCATGAAGAGTTTCAAACAAGGATCGAAAGAGGTCTGTAACTTTTAATAGGTTCTGTTTCAAACGTGGACCATGGTTCTTTTTTGGAACACATTCTCATATTCTATGTACCAATGAGAACGGACAAAGAAAATGTTTCGAAAGAGCAGTTCCAAATGGAAGAGAACTTGTAAGATATAAATGTATTTGTTCACGGCAGAAGTAGATATTTCGTTTGTGGATATGTTGAGAAAGTTCTTCGTTATCGTAAGACATATTAAATGTTATACAATGAATATTAAATAATTATTATCCTCAAATTGATATTCTGAATCAAGTTATTTACTTGTAATATTCGCGTAAACAATTTAAACAAGTAAACACTCGAACAGCTCTTGTATTTCTTTGAGAAGATGAACAATGAAAATAAAATATTATGAAATAGAGATTTCCAAATAATTATTTAATCGAATTATATTAAATGCTGGAATAGGTAATTTTACTTGATTTAGCAATCGAGTAAATTCATATGTCAGAATGTTGGACAAATATTAGAAAGCTGATAAACTAGTGTACAATAAAAGTAGTCGGTTGCATTATAAATAGACTTCGTTATAAATACTGTAAAATTATAAAATTGTACAACAACTGTTAGATAACGATTTTCAATAATCAAATTTAAATCGAACAAATGAAATATCACATGGTACAGTTTTAACAAAGATTTACAGCTTGAGTTAAACTTGATTTAAACCTTGACACGGATAAACAAGTCTTGACATTGTATCACGTATGCGAACGATCACAGTAGCGGTCTATTATGATCGGTTATTAATTAAATACACGTATACATGACTGATATTTGATTTCAATTTTTTTGAAAACTAAGTCTCCCACGCAATTTTGTTATTCTTGATATTGGTCTTATTTCCAGTTGTAGAATCTATCTCACTCAATTTGTACCATGAATCATGAAACATCCTGTATATCGATACATATAAATACATATAAAATATTTAAAGATTAGTTTATAAGAGTATTTGAATTTGCGTAAATATTTGTAACATAATAACAGTAATATTAATTATACAGTTCTTTTCATTCTCATGATGAGTGAAACAACATCAAGAGGATCTATAATAAAAAAGTAAAAAGGGAATATAACAGAAAGTTAAAGTAAAGTATATACAGAAGATTAATAAAATAAATTTTTATGATATACAAATAGCACCAGGAGTACCGTTAACAAACAAACGTCAAATTGACCTATTCACGATTATTTGTTCAAAGATCACTGAAATTATTACAATAAACGCCACGCGAAATCCGAATGAGAGCACTCCTGCAATTTTTCCAACGCGTTGCAATGCAAACCAGTTCGTTTTAGTGCTCGAGGTCCTGCTAGTGCAGTGCTGCATAAACTTGATAGGAAAAATATTTTACATACTATTCTAAATAATCGTCATTCTAAAATCTCAGAAAAATAGTGTTTTTAATAGTAAGTATAAAATAAAGAGAGTAATTATAGTACAAAATGAAATATTTTAGTTCTATGTTATAAAACAGTATTTAAAATATTTACTGACAATGTCAGATGAAGGTGTTTTAATTAATTCTCTTTTAAAAAATGGCTGCACGCATGTAACAAAGTGCAACGTTCGAAATTTTCATTAATTACAAATAAACTACTGCTTCGTGAACTGAAAGATTGATCCAGCGAAACTACGTTATATCCAAGTTACTAAGCAACGAAATCTAGTTTAAAATAATAATATAAGTTTAAAATAATAATTCTTACCCATGATACTCAGTGACGTGTAAATGCACTTATACCTTTGCGGTCGCGTTATCGTAATAATTCGCACTTGTGTTACCTAACGCATAATTATAATAATAATAACAATATTATAGAAAGAAAATCTAAGAGAGTAGAATACTATTAACCATAACAAGAAGGAAAATATTTCTTTTGTTGTTGAAATTTGACAAAAAAATGTTACACGAAGATGACGGTATTTTTTGGTAAATACAAAGATGTATGTGCATCATTACACTTACGAAAAAAATATTATTTACTATTCCTATATACATTCCTTTTATTTTACTGTTTCTAACTTCATAGATTTCTTAACTTTAACAAAAACAGACATAACTTGTTACATTCGCGTGAATTGCCTTAAATATTTGAGATTACAAAATAATCAATCATATAAAACAAAATATGTTAAATATACAAGTCACAGGATTTTCAGTGTCCTCTAAATAAAGTTTTGCACTGAAAAGTTCATCAAATCGATCAGTAATCATTTCAAGCCATCTTTTTACGCACTGTACGATATAGTAATAAAACGATGCACTAGATTAAGTTAAATGAAAACGAACGCATCTGTAATTACTTAAATTACGTATATAGTTAAAACACAGTTAAAATGAATAAACATATACAGTCAAAAATAGAATAAACCATTTATTATTTGGAACTTTCAAAACTGTGTATACAACTTATAAAATAAGATAAATTATTCGTTATTTACTTTTTTTAAATTTTTCTAAAATAAAATAGACCATTCAGTGTTTGCAATTTTCAAAAGCGTACGCACGATTTAAAATGAAATTGACTATTTGCTATCTGACGATCGCTATAAACGGTTCAAACTGAAGTATTTCCTATTTCCTATTTGAAAGTGTGAACAGTTCGTACGATTCAAAGTTAAACAAATTATACACCATATCCTATAAGAAAATTTCGAAAAGTATGATTTAAAGCGAAACAAACTGTCCACCAATTAACTATTTGAAGTCTCCGGAAATACGTGCACGAATTGTGAGTGAAACGGACTATTTATTATACTGTATTGGGAATAATACCTCGACGAGGCTTGTTCCAGTGTTAATAATAGCTGAGGTTTAGCGAATCAGGCGGCTGGTTCGAGGTGCCTTGAGGCCATCACTAGTCGAGGGGGCTCCCTCTTCGGGAGAAGCGAGCAGGAGAGACCGATCCCGTGTCGTGCAGGAGAGACAAGGCGGCGGGAGAGAACGAAACGTACCACGGTCTCGTGGATTCTGCCTGCACTCTGCGACCATTCCGCAGTTACACGTCGTCCAAGTCGGTTTCGTAGCGTACCTTGGTCCCTGGCCGATTGCCACGAGGCACCACCGTTCCTCGAGATGCTCGAAGAGCCGAGCCGCCTAGGTACCGGCATCGATAGATCCTGACCGGACCCTGGGAAACACCGATCGGCCGTTCCTCGATCCTGGAAAATCCTTCGACGGCGGAATTCACGTGCCAAATATGGTTCGGCTCCCTCGAAGCTCCTCTCGGTAGCGATGCTGGGCCCGTGGTGAACGGTAAACAAGACTTTGACGAGAGACACGGAGTCGAACGATCTTGAACCGATCCTCTTGCACGCGCGCCAGGACTCGTCCGGGACTTAGTAGTGGTTTTCGGTGGTTCGGTATCTCGGTGCGGTGACACTCGGACTTGTTTTCGGATCGACGAGGATGACATGCCGCGAAGAAGGTCGCGAGGATTTTAGCGCGGCGAGCGACGCGCAAGGATGCCCCGCCGGCCAACGGAAATGACAGGGATCTTTTCGCGTTTCGTCCCGAGTGCCCGTCGAATGATTCCGAACGAAAATGTGCCCGCTCGACGAACAGGTGACGAACGGTTTCCCAATCGATGCCTGAACTCCGTGGCGTGTCATGGTGTATCGAGACGTTTCCCGATCCTCCGATGACTCGTGATCGCTACGATCCGTCCTGGAAATTTCTTTGAACGAATCGCGTCGCGATCGCGAACGGGATTAGGATTTATCCGGACCCCGCGGTGACACACAGGACGGAACGTGCACCTCGCGTTTCGCGAAAAACTATCGGGTAACGGTAATGGCGAGTCTGTATCGATTGTAGATTGCGCTAATTGTAGTCGCGTTTGCTTCGCACGGTCCGCGTGCCGCGCCGCGATTTCCGCGGAACATTGTTTTCCCTCCCGGGAAGCACTTTTTCGCGGGCACCGTGAAAGTGAAACCGGAGCAGTTCGAAACCGAGAGTCGCAAAATATCGGCTCGTTCGAATTGTGCCGTCCAGAGGAGTTCTGCGTTTGTCACGTACGATGATTTTCTCCCCTTGACACGCTTCGTGCTCTTGTTTTGGAGCTCCGAACGTAACTTGAACGATATAGGGACAGCGGTAAAGCGTGCGTTTCTCGTTTCGAAATGATAATACGATGGATATCGTGCGATCGCGATAGTTTCCCTTGAGCTGGTACACTTTTAGTATTCGGCTCGACACCGTCGTGTAATTTTCAGTTCTGTAACTCGGCGAAGGTAACGGAAAAACGATTTTCGCTTCGCTTCGCTTCGACATCGACGCGACAAAAGGATCTCGGTGTTGCCTGCGAGAATAAGAAAATCACGTGCGTTCGTGGCAACAAGAAGTGTACGCGGTAACGTTGATTTCGAGACAAAAGTGCCCGCCGAAAGGAGGGATGAATAAGTAAGAGAAACTTTCCACGAGAGCGCCGAGAAGATTGCGTATGTAAAGAGCGCAAAATGCGACATGTACCGCGCCGCCTAAGAAATGATCGGTTCAACAATAAAACGGTATACCCAGAGAACGATTCGATGAATGTATGCGAACGAGGCCGTTGTTATCGATACTGATTTAAACAGCAAGTGCGGCGGTGCCTTTTGCCGATAAAAAGTGAAACGGTGCCTGATCTTGCCACGGCACTAACTACCTCGACCTTAATGACGTTGGATACACCCGGTTTGGTAAGTAATCGTTTAATCGGTTTAATCGGCTATAATAATTAACCCTTGATAATTTTACCTTGGTTTTATTATTAACACGTTGGTACCGCTATTATCACGTTTGCGTTTTACAAGCTCGGGTCGGCACGATTCCACGAGAAAGCTTCAGCTATCCTAAACGACATTGAGATACTTTTACCGGCACGCTATTACGAACCCAGATACCTGGGGTATAATTTATTGATACGTGGTGTATCAATTAAACTCGATCAGAAGTATTTCTGAATTCGAATAGTTAGAACATGTACGTTCGAACTATTTGCATACGCGTATAGAGTTACGATATTTTTTATCGGACAATATTTTTTCTTCGATAGAATTTGTTTTTTGCTTTCGTGTGCAACAATTTCTCGTACGACGTTAAATCGGAGTTCGTAGAATCGAGAACACATCGCGAGTAACTTTTACCGAAATTTATCTGTTCAACCCTTTGCATTTGAAGAATTTTCTCCGATTATCTATCAGCAACTAAAACGAGTTCATTCGCGAACTAGTAAGTATCGAATTAAGTCAAATATAAAGAAATTTTGGTTTGAAAGTGTACCGATGCAAAGTTTGTGAAATAAAAATGTTGATATAATCAACTTAATCTATAAACTCATTGTATATAGTATATACTATAATATATATATTATAATATTATTATTTTTATTATTATTATTATAATATATTATTATTAATATATCTTTACTATAATATATATATTACCATTAGTATATTGATTATAGTATAGATATATTAATAATAATATATAAATAATAATATTATAATCTATATATACATATTATAATATTATTATTTTTATTATTATTATTAATATATCTATACTATAATCAATATACTAATGGTAATAAACTCATATAATCGACTGAAGTTAATAAAAATATTGACACAGTACCATAATTTAAATGAAAGATTTTATATGAACTTTTGCACGTTTGCATTCAAGAAATTATTCATCGTAGGTAGTTGCACAAAATAGGCAACGAATAAATGCGCGTATCAAGGATCATCCCTTTTCCTTGTCAATTCGATCGAAATTCTATTTTAGGAGCTTTGCCATCGGTCCATCGTTTTGTTTGTTTCTTGATTAACATCTCCATTGTCTTAGAAGGCACATATGAAATGACATTATTTTAAATATTATATCGAATTATTGAAATATCAAATAATAATTTTATTTCATAATTATTTTCATTATTTTCTTACTTTTTTACATCAAATCTTTTTACTTTCATACCTTTGTTATACCTTTGGTTGCGTTATTTTGACGATCACTTCTCTTGTCATATCTGACATAAAAAAAGAACAACGAACTAATTCTTTATTTAGAATTGGTATTCTTTCGAATGGAACGATATTATTTTTTTGTCTTCAAACAACAGCATTGAAAATAACGATTCGAAATGAATTATTCGGGAAACAGTTATTTCTTATTTTCATTTCGAATAAAATTTGTCCAAGTCTCTGCTCGAAGGAAGAGCGACTACCAAGAAAGTGTCGCCTACAACAATCAAGGCGTTCTTGGAAACGATCCAAGCTCTCATTGTAGCAGTATAAACAAAGGGTCTTATTTTTTTCGACAACAGTTCCCCTCTGTTTCGACCAATTAGAGTCTACGAAAGTAACGCGAGTGCCCTTAGAAAGTGGAACATCGGTGATTTTTACGCGGTGCTGTGGATCTAACACGGTGCACGCATTAAAGTTGTCAGTGTCGGTAACAGGATCTCGTTAAGAAGGAATCGATATGCACACGATGGCATTCGGCGCCGTTCGACGAATGCGGTTTCGAAGATAAACTTTCATTGCTGCGGTGCTACACGCGGTAGCATCGATCGATTTCAAAATTATGTATCTATTAAAGGAGCAACTCGTGTCTTTTTGTTTTTTTTTTTTTAAATTACCGATTTTCTTTTTGCTTTTCATCGTTCGAGTGCTGTACCCTCGCTCATTCGGAATAAGGACTCTTTTTCGTGTAATTTTCGTGTAAATTCCTATTTGCATATGAATTATTTGACAATTAATATTATGCTATGTCAACATATATAACATAACATATGCTGTTATATGTTGTCATATATGTCAATATATGTTATGTATTAATTATTTGACAATTAATGTTATGTTATGTCAACATATCTAACATAACATATGCTGTTATATTTGTCATATATGTCAATATATGTTACGTATTAATTATTTGACAATTAATGTTATGTTATGTCAACATATATAACATAACATATGCTGTTATATGTTGTCATATATGTCAATATATATAACATAACATATGCTGTTATATGTTGTCATATATGTCAATATATGTTATGTATTAATTATTTGACAATTAATGTTATGTTATGTCAACATATCTAACATAACATATGCTGTTATATTTGTCATATATGTCAATATATGTTACGTATTAATTATTTGACAATTAATGTTATGTTATGTCAACATATATAACATAACATGTGCTGTTATATGTTGTCATATATGTCAATATATGTTATGTCAATGTATATAACACATATTATGATGTTGTGTTATGTCATTATTAATTATATGAATTATTTGGCAAAATTTGACATTAAGCATCACTCGTCGATTAAAAGATTACTCATTGTAAAAAGAAAATAAAGTAGAAGTTGTTAACTTATACATTCTCTTCCGTTTTAAGAATCTGTTATCATACGTTTAAAAAAATCGTCGTAGATTTGCAACTTCATGTACACGGGCTGGTTCAACATATAAAAATGTTAAAAATTAATTGTAAAACATTAAAACATTGTTAACATTTTTCACTTATTAGTAGATTGCGGATCTTTATGCAAAATAATAATCGCATACATCAATTGTATAATGTAAGATCGAAGCACGATTTGATTTCTTTCTATAATAATTTCAATAAGTCGAAATTAATGCACGAACATTTTTCGTTTTTTCGAATCTTGTCATTGTTTCAAATTTTTCACACCCATTTTTTGCCATAAATACATCAAATCCGCAGTCTACTTATTAGTAATTTAACATCTCTGTAGGAAAACAGTATATGGAAACTTGCAAGTTGACTGTCAGATTAAAATAAAGAATTTTTGTGATTAAAACAAAATTTTTCGGAAAGAAAGAAATGCTTTCGAAGAAATAAACTGACGTTTCTGAAAGAATACGTCGAGCGTGGTTCGAAGTTGGTGATCAAGATTCTGTTGAAAATGTGCTCGCGCGTAAGTTCAAAATTAGACTTTTCTTCGGGTCAAAAAGAATGCGTTTCGTAGCATCTGTCTACTATTATCCTATGTAGCTCCTTTTATCAAAGTGCAAAAACAGTCTGCCGCTATCTGACCGTGAATATCGTAACTTTGCTATCGATAAGGCTATTGAAACCTTATAACGCTCATACCATCCCACACAGACCATTTGGCACGCAATGAAATGCAATAAATGTTTAAAGTGTATACATGGAACGACTACGCTTATCGAGCTTATAATGAAAGGACATCTAACGTCCGGAATGCATTTATAAATTACCTGATAATGCGAGCACACGTAATTATTGGAAAAGATCTTTCGAAAGTTGTACACTTCAAAATTTTTACGAGCGGGCAGTAACAACGTTTGCAAGTCTTTTGGAATTATAAAAAATTCTTTCACAATTAACCCCTTCATGGAATTTTACGGTTTATGACAATAATTGTCAGAATACCATAACTTGGAACACCATTTAACGTAACCTGATCTTAATTTCACTTACATAAATACAATTACAAAGTAGATCTAATTAATAAAAACTACAAAATAGTTGTAACAAACAAGTGACTGTTATAAAATTGGTGAATGAGTCTTCGAGGTTTTATGAATTAAATATGTTCTAATAACATAATATCTCTTGCCTTTAAGTACAAAATATTTAATAGTTTTATTGCAGTCAAAACGTGTTACAAAAGTAACATAATCTTTCAAACGATTCTTAAAAACGTAAAATAATTGTTTAATTTATTCCATTGTTATCGTTCCCCTCACATTGTAACACGTTTTTTTTTAAAATATAAACAGAATAGAGCACTGCAGTCGCGATCACTTTGAAACAGTAATATTCATCTGAAACTCAATTATAGATATATCAAAAGCGAGCACTATCTTTTTGCTTCGTTTCCATCTACGAGTTCATCTCGATCCATTACGTCACACAGCTCTGTCTCCGCAAATTTGATTCACGACCTTTCATTGTTAACGCAAAAGGCATGCACAAAAAGTTCCTTTCTTCTTCTTATCTTGCTGAAACACGTTCACAACGGACGCGACTCAATGTCGCGTTTTCTCTTGACTCGAAATTTTCTTACACACTGTTGCGTTAAACAAATGTATGCATATCAAATCTAAAACGTATGTTCCATCAATACTTGCTATATATAGTGTTCAATAAATCGTGAAAAATTCGGATGAATATCTTACGACGTCGAAGGTGACTGCCATTGACCAATATTAAGCGGAATTTTTTTATTCAGATCCTGTCATTAAGGTGTTAATCGTCTCGGTCGATCGTAACCATCAATCCTTAATCATTTAATTTATTCAGGGACGCGTTTATCGCTCTTCTTCATTTTCAAGGCTAATTCCATGCAATTTGCACTAAGTGATTGCATGTTCTCCGTGGCGGTTTTACTTTTCTATTATCATTTTACTGGTAGTCATCGGACTGAACCGTATCAACGTGTTTTTTTTTTCACGGTTCCTCTCTTCCTGTACTTGTTTTCTCTATTATACAGTATATATTATAGAATGTATATACATATATTCTAGTATGTATTTTCTCTATTTTCTCTCGATGGCTGGACTGCACTCTACACGCAACCACAACAATCGCTGCTGAATAACATACAGTAGAACAACAATTTGTATAAAATTCAACATAAATTTTACACTCTTCTGCAGCGAGAATATTTATCAAAAGAGAGCGA